CATCCGGAAACATCCTGGAGCCCAGCTGATCTCCAGGGGGAAAGAGTGATTTAAAGCAGAACCAAAGCTTGTAAACAGCTGTGGGGTTTCGTGGAGGGCAGAAGGCGATGAAAACCTCTAGTGGATTCCCCAGCTTTGATCAGGCAGGGGAGGGAGCTGGCGGGTATTGAGTACCTACAGGCACAGAACTGTGGCATCCGTAGATGAGGAAGCTGAGGCTCCCAGAAGGGGTCTGAGCCTAGGCCTGGCAAGGCGCACGCCCTGCCCTTCGCTCCGTGAGTGGCTGGTTGGTGAGCCTGCTCTGAGCCCCTTTCCTTCTCACCCCTCTTGTGGGAGATGCAGGAAGAGGAGCAGCTGATGGTCAGCACCCCATTGGCTGGGGCAGGGGAGGATAGGAGAGACCCCCACAAGGGCAAGCTCCACCCAAACAGGGGCTCTGCTTTTCCAGACTGCCCAGCCTCTCAGAACAGCCCCTGTTGTGCTCAGAACCTGCTTGTCACGGGCTTGGACACTCAGCCTGGACCCTGCCCTGCCCTGCCTTTGTCCAGCCTGCCACACCCCACCCCTTCCCCATTTCGTTCTTGGCTCCCTTCAGAACAGCCCCTGGCCCTTCCTTGGGTTGTTGGTTCTCCTCTCAAGAGCACGCAGAGCCCGTCTCAGCCCTTCCTCCAACCCATGGAAACACCTAGTTGCAGGTCATCCACACAACGTGGTACCTCTGTTGCTTTGCTAAGATTCAGCCAGGCCCTGAGACAGAGGGTGGGGGGTCCACTGAGGCTGGGAACACTGCCCTCATAGAGACCCACAAAGCAGAACATGGCTCAGATGAGGCTTGCAGGAAAGAGATCTGCTCCACAGAATGTAACCCAGTGTTTGCCCAGGCAAGCCTGTTGCCCCCCTGCAGGACAGCATGCACCAGTTTGAGAAAGGCAATACATAGGGTGAATGTGGCAGGGTCCTCTGGAGGTTCACAGCCCAGGCCCCCCAGCCCAGAGGACAGGCCCAGCCTCCCCAAGGACAGGAAGGGAGGTCAGAATCATGTCCCCAAGCCTGGCAGGTGCATCTGACTCCAAAGCCAGGCTGTTTCTTTCTCTGCCCACCTTGGAGTCCAGTCCTCAGTGCCTCCCAGTGACCACCCTCTATCCAGCAGCCTCTGCAAGGTCGGCCATTCACCCAGACAGAGAATTCAGGAGTCTGGAGACAGACTTCTTGCCCAGGAGTCACCTCCACAGACCGAGGCCATGGCCATGTGTCAGCTCATCCCAGAGCCACACACATGAAGCTTCTGTGCTTACCATGAGAATCTGCTCTGCAGCAGCTCCAGGCCTGGGTATCCCAGGGAACTGGAATCAACTTTCCTTCAGCCTCGCGGTGGCTGTTTCCACGAGCACTGCTCAAATAGCACCCCCGCCTGTACTTGCAAGGTACAAACTTTATTCAATTTTTTAAAACTCCAAGTCCTAAAAGCCACAAACTCTGAGATCCCCAATATAAGCAGGACCCTCTGTGGAAAAATTGGTTTTCTGTCACTATTGGGACTTCTCAAAGACCCGAAAGAGGCCTTAGGGACCAAGGCTGTACCATCAATGACCCACCAGGGGCAATCTGAGAGCTGGCAGAGGGCAGCGTGCAGCCCAGCAGACAGGAGTCTTGTGGTTGTCACTCCAAGGAAAGACACTGCTCAATGGAGAGGTGTGCCCACGCCTGGGGCAGGGGGCTTTGGGCACCAGGACTAGGAGGTCTGGACGTCATCCTTCGGGAGTGAGGCTCCACAGAGGGCCTCAAGAAGGGGAGCTGTGCAGTCAGATTTGCATTCTAGAAAGTTCCCCAGGGCAGGGAGGGGCCATGGGATGAAGCCCCAGCAATTTAGCTATGGGGCTTCCTGTGTCCTACCTCCCCGCACATCAAGAAGAAAGAGCTTTATTTAGTTATAAACTGTACCTGACTCTCTTTAATTTTGTTTTGCATTATGGTTTTGTAATCCATGCCGATGTGTGGGGGTGGGAGTTGCACTGTATTTGGGCTCAGTTCAGCAGGACACACAGGTACACACTGGACCTGGGCACAGAGTCGGCAGCAGCAGCCACACTGGAAGAGGTAGCTGGAGGCCAGCGGGCAGGCAATGTCCAGGGCAGTGGGAACAGGGAAGATTCAAACAGGCATGCAAGGCCGAGCTGGAGGAGGAGAGAGTGAACAGGAAGCCAGAAAAGGCCTTTGCAGGGGCTGACTACAGACAGGATGTAGAACTGGAGATCTGGTCCTGTGCTCTGGCCCTGGGTCTGTTACCAGCTGCATGACCTCAGGCAAGGGCTTCCCCTCACTGGGCCTCAGCTTCCCCCTCTGTAAGATGGGGGTGATAGCACCTACCTTGCAAGGTGCTATGGTGATTAAGACTGAGTTTGGGGGCCTTGAAGAGCTCCCAGAAGAGACCCATGAGGGGACTGGGCCTTGTGTGTGTTGTGGCCACTGAGAGGGCCGGGCCTAGGTGAGAAGTCCAGGGTAGGGACTCCCAGGGGACACAGCCCTGAGGAGGGGGGCCCTGAGGAGGGGGGCAGGAGGCCTTGGGCATGTGGACCCAGGGGTCAGGACAGCCAGGGCCTGGCAAGAGGAGCCCCCCCCCCCCACCTGAGGCAACTCTCAATGAGACTCAGATGATGAGGACCAGAACTGTGCCTGTGGCTGGGACTGAGGCTCTGACCAGGAGCCCCTGGGGTCTGGACCCCAAAACTTTGGGATGGCCCCACTCCGCCTCTCCTGGGACCCCAGCTGCCCCCAGGCCCTCCCTCTGACCTCCAAACCCTCAGCTGACCATGAGGCTAGCGGTGGAAGCACTTAGACGCCAATTTTCAGAATTGCCCTGGTTTCCTGCTGCAAGCAAGGCCCTGGCCTTGAGTCCTCCATGGACTGGCCGGCCTCACATGACGGGAATTGGCGGATGGGCTGTCTCCACTCTGGGCAGTCTGGAGGTCAAGCAGAGAAACACACAGTTTACCTCTGGACCCAGCAGGCGGGGTGGCCAACTCCCAGGCTGTGTCCAGAGCCATGAAGGGAGAGATCAGCTCCGCCGGGGGCCAGGAAAGGCTTCCCGGAGCAGGAGACTATCTCCAAGGATGAATAGACTCTCACCAGATGGAGAAGACAGGGAAGAGCAGTCCAAGCAGAGGGGACAGTCCAAGCAGAGGCACGAAGATGGGAAAAAAAACAGAGAGCTCAGGAAGTGACAAGAATGCATAGTGACCAAATGCAGAGGCTGGGCCTGGCCACAAAGGACCCCAGTGCTTGGCTTGGGAGTCCATTGTCAGCCAGTTGAACCACAGAGAGTGACAGGCACAAACCCCTGCTGTGAGAGAGGCTGCAGGCTAGGGGTTGATGAGAGATGCTGAAGCCTGAGCTGCCCCTCTGCTCCTCGGTGCCCTGAGGGTCCCTTCTCCCTGCCTCTGCTGGGCTGTTCTCTCTGCCTGCACGGCCCTCCGCTCAAGCACGCGCGCGTGCGCACACACACACACACGCACGCACACACGCGCGCAGACACACACACACACACACGACTCAAATCCCCAAGTGTTGCTCTCTCAGCGTAGCACTCGCTGCTCTTTTCCAGTCCTCCCCGCAGTGGGACATGCTCTCTCGCAGCTGTGAACTGGCAGAACTCTTTCTGTCCCTCCTTCCCCTTTCTACGTTGCACGCCTGTGTACTGCTATTTGCACGTGTCTTCTCTTTCTTGCTCTATACATCTCCTTGGTCTGACTCAGCGTGCATTTCCCAGGCACATGCTTCATGCCAGGCCTCATCTGAACACTGGAGACACAGGAGGTCAGACCCTCTACCTGACTTTACTGGGGAAGACTTGAGTAGACCACATGTTAACAATATGTCGTGTCACCTGCAACAGTTAGGATATGTACCGGGAACAGGGACAGATGGCCTGATTCTGGGAAGTAGAAAAGCCTGGTGGGCTTCGTAGAAGACCAGGTAACTGAGCTGAAGATGTACAAAGGAGGGAAGAGTGTGCCAGGCAGGTGGAGGGTGTGTGTGCCAAGGCTCAGAAGTGTGGAGCTGCATGCAGCACTGCTGGAGTCAAGGGTGAAGTGCATATGGGGATGAGGGGACAGTTGTGGGGAGGAGGACGGGATGGCAGAGACCAGATGGCCCTGGTCCACAGTATCCCTGCCTGCTGGATTCCTCCACAGCCCCACATGGACAGGGAGCTCGGCGAGGCTTTGTGGAGTGGGTTGGTGGGTGGACAGGTTGAGGGGTGCCCAGTGAGAGGCTGCTGTGCAGGTGTCACTGGCACCCTGCAGACTCCACAGAAGCCCTGGATGTCCCCAAGATGCCCCAGCTCTCACAACCCGTCCTTGTGTTGTTTGGCTTCTCTCAGCCTTTGCTTTTGCCTGCAAAGTCCACAGCAATGCAGGAACAACTGACAAAAGCTCAACTGAAGCTGCCTTAAGGGAAAAACAAAAGCACTAGTTCACAAACTGAAGCATGCGGGGGAAGTTGCAGCTTCAGGCCCTCAGCCCTGTCTTCCTCTGTCTCTCAGCTCTGCTTTCCTCTCTGTTGGCTCTTTCTCAAGCCACATGGTGGCCCTGGGAGCTCCAGACTTGGTCCCATCAGGAGAAAAGGGCTCTCTTTCCCCTAAAGCACCACCATTCAAAGTCCCAGGCAGGCGCTTAGGGCCTGACTTGGGTCCCAGCCTCATCCCTGAACCCATCGCCCTGCCCAAGGGAATGCAGTCACCTGCCCACCCCAGCAGCCTGCCCAAACCCCGTGGGTTGAGATGGGGGTGGTCATTACAGAAGAACTGGGACACTGTTGTCAGAGGAAGGGATTCTAAGCAGCAGACAAACACAGATACCCCCTCCTCAGTCCACATGAAATGCACCCAGACCGCTGGGCTCAGGACAGGCTTTGTTTTCTTGTCACTGAATAATGCATCTGGGTCATAAGACAGGAAATTCTTTCCTGTGTGTAAACGTTGTTCTCTCTCTCTCATTTTCCAGGGCCCACTGGGTCTGGATGGCAAGCCTGTAAGTGACGAGAGGGCAATTCTGGGGGTCCTGGGATGGAGCTGCTGTGGGCTAGGGGCGGGCAGTGACCATGGGGTACCAGAGGGAAGGGGCGACTGGGAACTTGGTTCAGCACAGAGAGAAGCCCTTTGCACGTCAGGCTTGAGTTCAAATCCAGCTCCAGCACCTGCTGACTGTGCAGCCTCCTAGCCTGAGGCTTCTTATCTGTCACATAGTTGCATTAGCTCCTGCCTCACAGGGATGCAGTGGGGTTACAGAGAACTGTGGACAGCACAGTCCCTACTGTCTCCTCAGCCCTCAAAGCATGCAAGCCCCTCCCAACAGCCTCCATACATGGAGCCTGCAATACATTCTTGAGACTTCCATGGTGGGCATCGGGCTGAGGAGTTCTCAACACCTGGTCCAGGAGCCCATAGTCCACGGGCATCCTCAACAGATGACCAAAATGCACAAAGAAACATAAGCACAATCAAACAATTGAATATGGGTGGACAGTTGGATGGATGGATGGATGGATGGATGGGTGGATGGAAGGGTGGACAGATGGATGGTCAAATGAGGTAATGCATGGAAGAGTGGGTGTGTTAGTCGGTGGATAAATGCATTATGATTGACCAAACGAGTGAAGAAATGAATGACTTGACAAATCAAATTGTTAAAGGAGAGAAGCAAAGAACCAATTGCACAGGCGAACAATTTGTTGAATGAATGAACAAGTGAATACATTACTGGCTGAAGGGATGATGCATGGTTTGGAGAGGGATCTTGGCTGGTGAGCAGGTCAGTTCCTGACCAACAGTATCAACCCTAAGCTGGTGTGCGCCAGCCTGGTACCCTGCCTGGGCACTCTGATCCTCAGTCAGTGCCTTGCAGCCCAACCTTTTCCCCTAGAAGCCCTGGTAACTTGGCAGGATTGAAAGAGACACATTTTCCTGTAACCAGAGAGCAATGGCAGCCACCATGGCCTGCGTGAAACCACCCCCATACTCACAAGGGTGGATGGATGGATGGATGGATGGACGGATGGATGGATGGATGGATGGACAGATGACTGATCCAACCAAGGAGGGATGGATGGAGCTCAGACTCCAAGGGGCTACTGCCCTTGAAGGAGAGAATGCTTCTGGAGACAGGATCTCTGTCCACCTCCCACATTGCAGACTCCAGATAGACAGCTCGGGGGCAGTGCTCCTCTCCAGGCACAGGTGGGTGCTCAGCAGTGAGGGGCTGTGCTCTCTGATAGGAGTGACTAGTGCATGTGCCCCTCTCCCTGCTGAGAGGATGCCACTGGGCCCTTGCTGGTGACCCCCAAATTCCCCATCTTCCTCAGGCTGAGGATCTAGGTTTGGGGTCTCCTCGGGCCAGCAAGGACAGACGGGTCTGCGTGTCATTTTCCACTCAGCTGCCCACTGCTCTTCTCAGCATCGCAGGCCTTTCTGTCCTAAAGCCATAGGGAAGGCAGGAGGGGGCCAGCCTCTTCCTCCTCGCTCACACCTGTCCTTTCTCCACCTTCCTTCTCTAGGGACTTCCGGGCCCCAAAGGGGAAAAGGTAAGTGATTCTGGAGTCTGTTTGTATGCAGAAGGCTGACGGAGGATGCCAAATACCTGCTTCCAAACCCCCAGTTCCTGAGTGTGCTTGAGCAAGACACAGCACCTCCTAGAGCCTCAGTTTCCCCATCTATAATGTGGGGACAGTAGTGCCTACCTCCTAAAATGGCTTACAAGGCTTGCATTTGACAATATAACATGCCCAGAGGGTTGAATCTGAGTTCTTCTGGCACCAGAGAGTAACAGAACTCAAAGGCACAGTCTACCGGAATGACAAGTTTCCAAAGTCAGTAATCATGAAAAGGGGGTGCAGGAGAGCTTGGGTAATTGAACAGTGGCTGTTAATGGCCTTCTCTGTGGGGAGGACCTCCGAGAAAACAGATGGCATAGCGCTGTCTTGTGAGAAAGGTTTCCCTGGCATTTGGCACTAAGATCACGGGTAGCCCCCTGGAGAGCTGGGACCACCAAGCGAAGAGAGCAGAAGAGACCCATGTGTCCCACGGTGGGATCAGAGGAGGGAGGGACCAGAGCAGACTTAGGTGGGCAGGGCCGGCTGGGTGCTTTCAGGGAAGGGCTAGGCATGGCTGGGGCACATCCACCCCCAACCCAGGATTTGGACATGGAGAAGTGAGAACTGCTGATGGTGGACCCCACTGTGATGTGGCCACTCAGGTAAGGGGGCAGGTCAGGGCTCCAGTGCACCACCAGGACTGAGGGAGAAGCCCTGGGAAGGCACACGATTTGGCGTTCAGAGCCTCAGCTTTGCATTTGGGTTCCACCACCAACTGTGTGGCATTGAGCCTGTTGCCCGGCTCTGTGGGACTCAGTTTTCCCATCTGTAAATTAAAACCAATCTCACAGAGCCACGGGAAAGATTGCCTGATGTCATGGCCTGAATGTTCTTTGCCGATGATGAGCAGTTTGTAGGTGTTGTGATTACCTTCTCGCAGGTTCAGCCGATGCCAAGTTGTAAAAACGATTCCAGCAGGGGCTTTGAAACCAGAGAGAAACTGGTGTCTTGGTATCCATTGCTGCATAACGCATAGCACCAAAATTTCGTGGCTTAAAACAGCAATTAAGGGCCGGCCCGGTGGCGCACTGCTACAGTGCGCCGCTTGGGAGTGCAGTGGCGCCCCCGCCGAGGGTTCGGATCCCACATACAGACTGGCCGCTCACTGGTTGAGCGAGGTGCGGGCGCGACGCCGAGGGTTGCGATCCCGTTGCCGGTCCC